TCCAACTTCACCATCAGCTGCTCCATCCAGCCACAGTACCCAGGAGGCTCCTTCCAGCTCACCTTCACCTCCTCCAACTCAGCACACAACTACACCCAACCAGCTGTCAATCACTCTGCCTACTTCCTGTTTCCTGAAGCAGAGCCCGCCCACCAAGGAAGCTACAGCTGTGTTTATCACCTCTATGTTTTCTCTCATAACTTCTCCTCTGAGAGCCGTCTGCTCTCCGTCACTGTCTCAGGTAAGCTGACTGTTTACATGCAGGTTTGGAAAAGATGATTGGTCCACACTGACTGAAAATGATCAGCTGACCACATGTTGTTTCTGGAATGACACTGTGACGACTGTCATTGTGTCACACATGTCATATAGTAACCAAACTTATACAAAGTGTTTCAATGGCAACAGCAACAATTTACTGTAGGACTGAGCATGTTTGGTTACCAGTATAACTCTGGTTCTCTGACAACTCAGTGAGGTGTTACTATGAGACTGATGTGACCAATCACAAAAACTCCACTGCCACCACATTATACTCTGTCAACACACCCCTTCAACCCAAACTCACCATTTCAAGTGTAGTTCTGACAGAGGAAAGAAGGGTGGTGTGTTCAGGTACCTCATTCAGTGCTCAGAGAACCCAAACGTGCAGGAGGACAGAGACCACGAACCCTCCCCATAGGGGGTGAACGATGGCGTGTGATCACATCTGTTGAAGTGATTCAGCCTGTTGGCCCGGTCCAGGTCCCCCCCTGTTGTCTGGCTACCAGTCTGCTTGTAGCCAGTGATGCTCCTGATGCCACTCCACACATCCTTCATGTTGTTCTGTTGGAGTTTATGTTCCAGCTTCCTCTTGTAGCTGTCTTCATCCTGCTGAATCCTCTCCTCAAGTTCCCTCTGAACCTGTTTCACCTCCTCTCTGTCCCCCTCTCTGAAGGCCCTCTTCTTCTTGTCAGGAGGACATTGATGTCTCTGGTGTCCCAGAGTCTGTTGCTGGAGAAACAGTGTACAGTTTCTGTTTAAACATTATCCACGAAGCCCTTCTGAGCCTCAGGATGTAGAGCCTGTCATCCAGTAATAAGGAGTTCGGTGATTCGATCCCCTGGTCCTCCAGGCTGCATGTCCAAGTGTCCTTGAAAAAGATACTGAATTGGCTCATGTTTAACTGAGTATCGGGTGGCCCCTTGTATCAATGTGTGTGAATGGGTGAATGTGAGATGTAGTGTAAAAGTGCCTTGAGTGCTCAGAAGACTAGAAAGGTGTCAAACCAGTGCAAGTCTGTTTGCAAGTACAGTTTGTGTCCTGAGAGATCGTCAATGTCCTCTAAACAAACTGTCATGAGTTACAGAGCACATCACAGTCCTGCAGAACCTCATTGGTCTCCTGTGTCTCCATCTCCATCTCATCACAGTCTTAGGAGTCACAGGCTGCTGTAGGACTAGAGGCTTATACAGGGGTAGAAGGTGGATCAGGTTCTGGTCTGATCTTCCAGTGGGGAGGGAGGGCTACCATTGGCAGACAGCAGGGGGGAATGAGTGTGAGCACACAAAGACAAAATGGCTGACAACAGAAAAAGCTGGCTGAAACTAAAATGGCCACCAAGAGGTCAGTCAGGACAAAGACACAATAGAACAAAGGAAACTTGTGAATGTTCACTGAGTTCTCTCTCTGAGTGTAGCTCTGTTGAAAGCCAAAGTAGACGATACGTTTGTGTTCTAAGTTGTATAAAAGGTGCCGGGTTAATAAAACAGATGTTGAGTTTTATGCAAGACTTTGTCTGTGTGAAGCATCAGGAAACTAACATCACCTTAGCTTTGGCAAAGCCAACTGACTACAACCTGACTACAAAGAGATCGCAACAATAAAACTCACAGAAAAACATCAAATTAATACATGTTACACAGACACTGACAAAAGTCAACAGTCTTGCTCAGCCTGTGCTTTTGTACTAATACTCTGCCCAGTTGTTACGTTACCAGTCCATGAATGGAGGGAAGAGTTGCTTTGTTGTGCAGCGTGTTAGCCAAGGATCATCTGTTGTGGATGAGTAAAGCTAAAAGAATTGTGGTTCCTGATGCAGTCCTTGCTGTGCAGTGTTCCAGTGGTGTAGAGGAAGCTGTTCTCTCTGTGTGTCCTTACAGAGTTAGCAGTTCAGCGCTAACAAGGCTTTGTTCTTCTTTGCTTGGAAAGTTAGCTTGTAAACTTTGTGTCTGCTGAAGGCGCTAACTTGTCTGGTGTCTTCTACCATTTAGAAGACTTCAGTGTGGCTGGTCTGGAGGGTTTGTTGGCCTGGTGACATCACAGGGTTGCATGTCACAGTGACCAATGGTAACTGAAAACTGGGTCCATGGGTGGAACTTCACACCGAGGTGTGAAACGTGAAGTATCCTGAGTAACTGAGTTCAAATGGCTGATCAAAGGAGGCCACAGCAGCCCTTTTCTAAGAGGGCTGAACTTACAGGACGAGTCTTTACCTGTTCAGTTTAGAGTTACACAAATGAACAAAAATCATCTGTGGAGTCCAGTGATCCCAACAGACGTGCTGGAGCTTCTGTGAATGGTCACAGCAGAGGGTGATTCCCATAGTGAGACACTGAGCGAGGGTCAAAAGAGAACCAGACACTGAAGCTGTTTGTGGTTTGTTCTAGTTTACACCTGAGTACTGACTGTTTAATGTCACAGATACAGCTAGAGGCTTCACTGTATCGGCCTACTGTCTGGTAGGGAAACACCCACATGTCAGCCCACATAGAAAAGTCTCACTAAAGTCACTTCAGGTTTATTTCTACAGATTATTTGACGGGTTCAACGTGACGTGACAATTGTCCATGTGTTTCAGCACCAGATCCAACACCTTTCATCATCAGAGCCGTCGTCCTGCCGTTGATTCTGCTGTTGGAGAATATGGTCCTTTACTTCTACTTTAAGGTACTGACACGTGTCTGTTGTTTAGACCTGTGACTGACATGAAGCACTCAGTCTGTGTTTATTGAAGTGAAGAGAGGAGTGATGCAGGAAGTAACATGTGTGTGCTGTCATGTGTCTCCAGGCCAGCAGGGGGCAGAAGGTGGCCAGACAGGAGAACATTGAGCTGGATTATTATAACCTGGGTGTTGCTGCAGCTGAAGG